ATTAATAGATTGATCAAATAAAAATGTTCAAGATTGACTACACCAAAAACCAATACATTATGTTTACGACGTGCAACAATTTAATGATGAGCTATGGTGGAAAACACAGCAAACCGTACACCGGGTATATGAAATCAATGATTTCCAACCTGTAATTGCTGGGAACATTTCAGGCTTTAGGGCTATATGCTCCATTTATCTCTACATCTGCGTCTATTTCGCAATCATTTTCATCATTTTGTGTTGTTGAAATTCTTCCAACTGTCTGTAGAAGCTATAACAAATGAGAAGTAACACAAATATTGGGAGAGGTTTTCAAGAAATTGTTTTTAAGTTTTTACGATATAGCATGTGCGATGAGATAAGGCAGTCTCGATTACAATGATACTATTTTTAATCCGTGATTTTTTTAATAAGATGACATATAATAAATATAATTTTGATAAGGTACTTGTTGAGCATCTAGTTGTTTGGTATTTTTTTCATTTTCATTGAAAACACAATTGTTAAGCTACAATTCTCGGTTAGTTTTTAATATTTTTTTTTTTTTTTCCTTTGGTTTGTTTTTTCCGTCGATCTTGTTTTCCGTGCTGAGCACCAATGCTACCGACGTGCCAGGAAGGCAGCTCCCACACCTGGACCCTACCTATCGACCCATCAACTCATGAACCGGGGACCAACGGCTTTACTTCCCATCCGAAGGAAGGCGTGATCAGAGATGTTATGCCTCAGAACATCCCGGCGGCGCCGACTGGGATTGAACCCAGGCCTGCTGGGGTGAGAAGTAATCACGCTTACCACTACACCACCGGTGCCGTTAGTTTTTAATATGTCCTATGTCAATTTGTCAATCAAAAAACCGATTAACTTGATTCGCTTTCTGCCGCGATCTGAGCGGCGGATTTGTTATTTTGATGCATACAATCAACTAAAGATTGAACGTATCATTATTGCACTGATCAAGCGATAGAAAGCGAATAAAGATCACCGATCTTTTTCATGAGCATGATTGACCGCCCACGGTTGGTACAGCTGTAATTACACAGAGAACTAATAGACTATGCTTGGAACTAGCAATCATCCTCAATGTGTAAAAACTGGTGATCTCAAACTAAGCAATAACAGCGCCGGCCGCGCCCGGACACAGGTCAAGAAAGGAATGGGTAGGAATGTGTTGACGTGACACTCGCTTTGATGGAAGCCGAGAACACCACTGCACTTCCACGAGGAATCACCACTGGGTTATTGGGTAAGAGGGTTGGGATTGCAAGAGTTCGTTTTGGTAAACGATAAGCTGAATTGATGTCCTAACGCGAAGGAGCTTGAAATTGAACCCACAATCTTCTGCTCAGTAAGCAAAAACGTTTGCCATAAGACAAACGAGCTCCTTTTTGATCATCGAGTTGTTGCTATTACCATGCAGTCATATTGACAAATAAAGCAATTGACGAATCTTGAATGTGGATGGGCCTGAGATTAGACTCATGATGTTCTGCTCAGTAAGCAAAAACGATCGCTCTAAGGCAACCGAGCCCCTCATATCACACCATACCTTTACTCGAGTTGTTGTAACCATTCAAACCCGTCACCAACGACGATAAATTTCGCAAAATGACCATAAATCTCTTTAATATGAAAGCATCTGGGATCGCGTTCTTCCGCTCAGTCAGCAAGCCACTGCAACCGATGATCTTTCAAATCCGAAATCTAAAAGCTACGGAAAAGCACTTAGTCTTCATTAAGTTCCACTTTTACGCGAGGGTTAATCCTTCGGTTTGCTCTCTACGCATTGTTCAGGATATCGTGCCTCTTACAGTCTTACATCATAACAAGCTGTGACCGACGTAACGATTATTAAGGCCGTGATTAAACAAGATATTAAAATGAAATTACGTTCTCGGAAGCAGTCGACAATGTATCCCAAACTGTATCATCCCAAGTAACAATTTTGGTTTTATGAGGGTTCTGTAGACCATGATTTAGGCTTGTAGAATGCTAAAAACCGCTATAAAGCTCGCAAAGTTACTTGGGATGCGTGCACTCTATTTTTATAAACATTCCGAAGCGTTCCGCCTAAGATTAAACAGGTTCAATTTTCTACAAAAGTGGCTTAGGATAAATTGTAATGTATTACCGACAGTATCGCTTTTCTTATGTTCTATATAAAGCCGCAAAATAGATCACACGCGATCGAGATCATCCCGCCAGGAAACAAACGGATTGTTTTTAACTGGAACAAGCTCACCAAACACAATCACCATGGCAGCACCAACACAACCTTAAAAAAATGTTGGTTAATTTCGAAAAGCAATAAAAGGACAAATACACACAACCATTAATTAATTAATTTAGCTTTATTTAGGAGGCTTTCAGCCTTAGGCTGGTTCGCCTCCAATGCACACAACCACATAAAAGCACATAAATATGAAACATCCCAAGTAACAATTTGGGTTTTTGAGGGTACTGTAGACCAGAATGCAGACTTGTAGAGTGCTTTAAAACCTCAATAAAACTTACAATGTAACTTCGGATGGCACTCTTCCTAATGCAAAAACCACCACCATAAAACCTCAATCGAACTTTTTGAATCACAATACATTATACACAGCGACAATTTTAACCGATACGGAAACCGATTCGAAAAAGTTCGCGTCTCTATCCTCTAAAATCGGTTAATCACAAACTAATCAGCGGAATACGCGTAATCATCCTAACGTCAAATGTAGTCACACTGTTTGGAACAATAGCTTCAGAAACAATACATTTGTGTCAACAACCCACCAAAATCGTACAACACGAACGAAGGTCACAGGTAAAACTATGTGGGCTACCGTGCCCCTCACTTCACAAAGTAAACTACGACTGATCCCCAATCCGGCGCAACCAGCATCCCGCCCACGTATGCCAATTTTCCCCAACCTGATAGCGGCGCCAGCACGCACGGGCGAGCTACCAGCCACACCAAACCGGCTATCAAACACACTGTTCACAAAAGTGTAATCGAGAAATGTATAAGAACAATCTTCAACTGGAACGTACTCACCAAATCAATAGATTCGGGAGCACATTATCGATGCTTCCACGCATATTTTCCTCCAGACATTTTTTTTATCAATTCCTCCTCCAGTGATTCCAACCACACAATAACTAGATATCACTTTTATTTTTACATTCACTCTGTGCACAAAAGCAATGCACATAGCAAAAACCTAACAATAGATCAGCGCGGTCAAGTCACACCGGCAACAAAGAGAAACGAGATCACACCAAGCACCTAACAGGGGGCAAAACATCAACACAAACTCCTCCAAATCAAACCGGGACACAAAACCAATCAAATGCTAGCACCGAAAAATATACGCCAGCACCCTCATCGAACAACTCGACAGAACGAGCACCGAACCCGAACTGTACTGCTTGGCGGTCAAGCAGAGAATCCGAATAAAGTTCACCGATCTTTTGATCGAAAAATGGACAGAGCATTTTTATTTGTTCCAAATTCAAAATAAATTACAAATTCATTTTAACCTAGATGCTCCAGCTACTACAGTAACTTACCAGCCTTAATTGTTATGATTTATATCTAAGTATTTTTACATTTTGCCTGCCTTGGCAATTCAGCATTTTATACAGGTTTTTTTTAAACCTGCATGTCAGTATAAAAATTTACATCTTACAACTGAAAACTAACACTAAATCTTATCAAAGTATAAAGGGAATTAATCATTGCAATTGAGGATTGCAACGAATTTTGCCTGAAATTATTAATTATTTTGTTGAACATTTGTTCTAAAGTCTCAACATTCGAAATTTTATGTATCACGGTAGTACTGCAACAGGGAGGCAACTTCAAAATCATCTTCAGAACTTGGTTCTGAATCCTTTGAAGTACTTTTTTCCTGGTAGTGCAACAACTATACCATATTGGCACAGCGTAAGGCATGGCTGGTTTAAATATTAGAAGTTTATTTGTCAGGCAAAGTTTGGATTTCCTGTTTATAAGGGGATACAAACATTTTATATATTTGTTACATTTGGCTTGAATGCGCTCAATGTGATCTTTAAAAGTTAATTTTTGGTCAAGTACTAATCCAAGATATTTCACTTGGTTTGACCAGGAAATTGGAATTCCTTTCATAGTGACTATGTAACTACACAGTTCGAAAAAGTAGAGTAAATTTCTGTTCAATATGATGCACGTAAATGGAGCGTCACATATCATATACGTTTACATTTTTTATCATGTAAAGTTCTGACTCATTTCATGGAATGTAGCAAATATTGTATACAAAAGCCCATCTTCGTAAACAACATTGTTTTCAAGTTGCTCGGTTGCATGAAATGAAATACAAGTCTACGTGAATGAATGTTTACATCACAATTAAAATTCAGAATTTTTATCTAATTAAATTATTATATAAATAATGCTCATGCGTATCCGCGGCATTAGTGATTCGAGATTAGAGCACGTCAGCTTTTGTAAACAATGACTTCAATCACCGGCTATCTCAATATCGCATCCAAACTATGCCAACTGATAGAGGAATCATTCATCTACCTGATTGTGTTACTAGTTTACAACAATAAACATTTATTTGCGAGTTATCAGGGGTGTAAATAATTGATTACAAAATCAAATGTGTCTTAATTTCGAATCACAGGAAATTACCGTAGCGGGGCACGGTGGCGCACAGGTCTAAGACGGAGGCATGGGCCAAGAAACTCTAATTTGGGTTTAAGAATATTGTTTTCTAGCTAAGTTAGGTTTGTTGAATGTCAGTAATTTCAGTGCCGCAAGAATAAAGATTAACATTGGTGTTCTAAAAATATCGTATTCGTATACGCTCTGCATTGTGTTGGAATTCACTCTGTGGATTGGTCATTAAAATCAGATTCAAATCTTAATAACCAAAACTGACTGTTTTGCACTGCGGTTATTGTGGTAACGGTTATTGCTTCAAGTTTCTAACACCACTCTCAGACAAAATGTAAACACTTACATGAAATGCAATCAAACTGTATCCTTCTGTGTGAAGAAAGAGACACGCCGTATAATCGCCACCCCTGCTGGGATAATGCAGAACTCCATGTGATATGGCCACTGGAATGGCCGTGGTCACTATGACGAACCATGCCACGGTTATTGCTCTGTAATGGAAAATAGTTTCCAATAAATTTCACAAGCTTTTAGAAAAGCGTCGCGTTGCTTGAACGGAATTCCATTAAACTTACATCACAGCATTCTTTTCTGTTCTAATCGACATACTGGTAATTGGATGCACCACTGCCAAAAAACGATCCAAGGACATTAAAACTAAGGTGTACGCACTGGCATGGGCAGTCACTACTATCATATATTGTACCTGTAACCGTAATTGGTATGTGACAGGAAAACTGCATAAAAGAGTAAAACATACATTTGAATACTTACAAATTTGCACCAAATCAATCCAAAAGGCCATTCCGGTAGGATATAATCAGTCGCGGTAAATGGAACACAAAATATCACAAACAACAAGTCCGCAGCCGCCAAATTTATGATAAGCAAGTTTGTAGTAGATCGCATGTTGGGATTAGCAGCAACAACTGAAAATAGATGATACAGAGACACAGAATCTGTAGTTGGACTATGGAGACAACTATTTATATTTCATCGAGTTATCTTTCAACGATTTATATTCAGCCTTAGGTTTTATAATCATTGTTCTATAATCGTGTAAATTTAAATCTAAATCAACTGATTTGGATAATTTTAATCAGCCCAAATTATAAAAACCGTTTCTATGCTATACTTATTGAACCACTCCATAACATTCTTCTGCATTATTTGTTTATTAATATATATTGTGAATTTCTCTAAGCCTAAGCTCCCGAATTGTTTTTTTAAGTCATAGAATGTTCAAACATTCCGGTAGCTCCATCAGGAAGAAAATACTTCCGAACCCTAGACATATGTTGTACTCTTCTTACAATGAAGAGTACACGCAAAACAAATGGCATGAACATCAAATATAATGGTCGATTTCTTACATCCTCTACATGTTTTCTTACAATAAATGTTATAGCAGTTCTTGCAATGGGCTGTAGCATACAAGCATGTTATTTTCAGAAATAGTTTCTTATAAAACCTTCACGAGATGATTTTCTGGCCGCAAGGCCGTTGACGAGACGAAAATTCATAAATTACAAAATTATTTAGAGAAAACCTTTTGACGACCACATTACAGAATCTGTTAATAGAATCTTACATTTCTCGGTTTGGTGTATGTATATATTAAGGTGGTTCAAAATCTCGATTTTACTCCATTTGTCACAATCCCTTTGAATTTTACATGTATATGGGAATTGCTACTGGAAAAGAGAAGTTTTTTATTTCCTCGTCCTAACCATTCGCCATAATGATTTAAAGGTAAACTGACAATCTTCAACATTTTAATTAAACGTAAGGAAGATTGTCCTGTTCAGTATCTAGTACCCGGAAGGCTGCTCATTGCGATAGACCAATATGCGTATGTCCATATGGACGTTCATCGCTATGCCATATATCTCGGGAATGAGTGAAGATATCGCAAAAAAGCAGTTCCACGCCAAAAGATGAATTGGAAAAGTTCGACCCTCTCCGATTTGGATTAAACTTTACCCAACTATTGTGTGCTCTTCTCGTAGTCATCTCAGAGAGAAAATAGTAGAGTGGTTGTTACGTGCTGTGCCATCATCAGCATTGTTGACGGTTACTCCCACATTGAGTTGTAACATTCAAAGGGTTTTTTTTACTTCATACGTAAAGTTTACAATTTTCAGAGCTGGTTGTAAATGCTATCTAATATCAACATGAAGCTTAAGTGTGATAATTTATTAGCTAGAGACAGTTCTGATAATTCCGCTAGAGTACAGCAGTATGAAAATTGAATAGAAGTTGAAAATGAGACAGTACTAGTCAAACGCACACTCCTTTACCTAACTCATACATTAATGGATGAGGAAACTTGAAGTATTTCTTCAAATCTACATGCAGAGTACTTTTTTTTTATTTGTACTCAAAATAACAAAAAACAAACTCATCATTTTTTTTTTCTTCTTAAATTTCTCAAAACATAGGGGAAATGGATGTATTGTCGGCCTAAATGCCCCTAAATTGGGTTCTTACATAAATTCACCAATCGACTAAATTTTCAATAGTGACCAAAAATATCCATTTTTTTCCTCTTTTCGGGACCTAACACTACTGCAGTAAACTGGTTGATCTATTGTAGTATATCACGTGTCCTTAGTTTAGTGCATGTCGTATTACTCCATCACTATTGAGAAATGATGAAGTATTATTCGATTTTTTTACAGTTGCCACTCTTGCATTTATCGCAAGGATCCGACTCTAATTGAAAGGTCCCGCTATTTATACCCTTCGGAGTGTTGAAACACCCTCCAAAGGTGCGCCCCTTTGTCAGTCAAAATTGGATTCCTTAGCAAAAAAATTAAGGTATGACACCGATAATGACCATGCATCAGAACCCTAGTCTTAACCACTTCAAACTAGGGAGCAACGAATAGAAGATTAGGAATCACATAGATGAAGACAACTAACTCATTTTTTTTCCTTGTTTCAAGATCATCCTCGGTAGACTAAGCCGAGTCTTGTGACTATCAACAGGCATAAAAAGTAACAAGGACTAAGACGTGTTCCTTGGATTACTGAAAAATCCTGTTCCCCTAGTTTTAAGTAGTCAGGACTAGGAATCGGTGGTAGATCTTACATCCCGTAACGTACCACGAAAAGGTGATCTACCCACGTTACGGGGCAAAAAAAAAATCCATTAGTACCGTCCGAATGACGCGTTCATCTAGATAACATTGATAGATAGTCGATTTTTAGCGATGGGCCCAATCTTAGATTCATTAGCCAACATTAGAGCCATTTCCCCTACTTGACTTTTTCCAAATTTTAAGAAAAACCTTTAAATGTTTCTAGAAATTTTCCTAAACATTCGTGATCAAAATCTCGGGCAGAACAAAGTTCCCAAAACTACCAGTAAGGCAAATCAAACCCTAAAGTTTTTAAGATGTATGCTGAACTTCAACAGACCTGAGCTGAGTTTTTAATAAATTCTCCGAAGTTCTACCAAAATCACTGAGCTTCCTCAATTTTGGTGAAACTTCTATGAAGTCCCTTCAATTAGTGTCGGTAGGGGTCATAAAAACCAACTAAGAATAGCACAACGGAACACCTGTTCCAATGGTAAAGTGTATCACACACCCCTTATTCACGGTATGATGTGGCCTTTAGCCTACCGTGCCTTGAATGAATGGTTAGGGGATCTGTCAAAATTCCAATCACTAATGGAGTTGTGAAGTAGCAGCCTGTCCTCCACAGTATGACAGAAATTGTCCACTTGGAATGATCACGGACATAGAACATTTTACATACGTTTATGATTTTAAATCTCGATCTTGATCAAATATTCAAATTTGTAATATTCTCTAAGCCATAAATCAAAGTAAACGTAATTGATGATATTCATCACTACGGCCCGATGGCCGAAGGTGAGGCGGCAGCTCACATGTTATATTCATACTGTATTGGAAATACTTCAGCATGTAAATGTAGAACAAAAATTGAGCTGTGTTTGTTCACATCAAATGATACTGAGTACAAGCACATATCGTCGACGATTGGTGTGTATTAGAGAACGCTTGCACAAAAAGACTAGGGTGGGAAACGGATTTGAAATTAAAATGTCATTAGCCAAATACAGCCGTAGACCATATAGGTCCACCGTTGTATAATTGGCAATGCACCCGTGTACTGAATGGAATTGTGGGTTCGAATCCCACCGGTGCCCTTAGATTTTTTAGATCGACAACTCTATGAGAGTACTGTTGAATTACGTTATATCATGGCTGTCTTATATCGAGGTATTAAATTGCAAAAAGAGCAATTACCGGGCTTGTTGATTATTTGGGATGGGCTATGTTTCGAAGTAACATTATTCAATATTGAGCAACCAGATCAACATCAAAATCTTGCAGAAATGGTCCTACAACTAGGTCCCGACCATATAGATGCGAGCATTTAGCTCGGAAATTAAATAGGTATGTAGAAAGGATTAGAGATAAATTATTTTGTTATCATAATAAACAAGTCATTAACTTATTATAACGTGAATCAAATACTGAATATCAGTTAAGGAAGTACAGTTTAGAGCTCCACATTGTATGAAAAGGTGTACATATTAAAAAAATTTAATTGAATAACGTTGAAGTGTATTTATTTTTTTATTTTGAAATGATGAAATAGGAGAAATGGCTCTAATGTTGACCTGTGAGTCTAAGATTGGGCCCATCGCTAAAAATCTGCTATTTATCAATTGTATCTAGATGAACGCGTCATTGGGACGGTACTAATGGATATTTTTGGTTGCTATTGAAAATTTAGTCGATTGCTGAATTTATGTATGGGCCCAAATCAGGGACACTTAGGCCGGCATTACATACATTTCCCCTATGATTAATTATTTTGAAAACAGGAATTGTATTTCTCAAGACATTTAAATAGGTATTGACAAATGGCAACTTTGTAGTGATATTATGTGCTGTAAGTAGGAGTTTTGATAACGAACGCTCTATTAAATTTTGAATAGGTCCTGCTCATTCTTCTAAAATTTTAACTCATCTGGGATTTCATATTATCTTTGTAAATTACTATCGAAAAAATGAACTTTTTGTTCGCATCGTCCTGGCATTTTTCCATAATGATTTACGGGTAAGCTTGCTATCTGTGTTCGTTTAAAGAAAAAATTAAAGATTAAATTAAAGATTGTACGTATCATTATTGCGAAAATTCCGCAATAGTCGCAGTAGAAAGCAACTAAAGTTAATCGTTTTTAATCGACAAAGGACCAATTCAAAAATGAATCCAGCACGATACATGAAGTGATACATTTTAACGATAACTGGAAAATTCCTGACATATGCCTTATTCGTACTTACCTAATACAACCAGGCCGTTTCCTATTAATCCAGCGAGACCTATCAAACCGAAGAACACCGGCACCATCATCGATACCATTATTTCAATGTTTGTCACGTTCCCATGATACGTGGAATCGTTATGTAGACCGAAAGTTTCATTCCACGTTGTGTTTCCAAACATGTTTGTCTGACTTTCACTGGCATTCGTTATTGCAACAAACCACCTGGAGACAACCCTATTTGCAAGTCAAACAGTTTTGATCCAGAGTATATGGCATCGACGGTCTCGTATGGATTATATTTATTTTCACTTTTCGACTCTCAGCATGCACTACCGTTATTTTCCAAATTTCAGATGAAACATTTTTCAACCATGACTAGTCAAACTGAAAGAGTACTGCGTTACACACTATCGATATTGAATCAAAAAAGCTAGAATTGTAAGTGCCTATCTAAGCGAAGTTTGTTTCCGGTTCGTCATTCGTTCATGAAAATTTTGCGAAAGAATTTTAAGAGTGTAGTCACTGAATTGTAAATTTACGCTCGACTATCACGATTACGATGTCTTGAATATTTTACGAATATCTTATTTTGCGTTTTGTTCTGCACCAAGACTGGCAGATAAAATCTTCAATTAAAACTTTACTACTGGGAACTCAATTCAAATAAGCTCTGAACAGAGCTTGTCAACTTCAGGGTCAGCTCAGACGCTACATAATTATCTTCCCGGCTCCAAAGATGTTGAATGCATGGAAATATGAGATGCACAATGAAATTGTTAGCGAGGATTGTGTAAAGACCTATTGAATGAATATGGTTCGTTATTAATCGTAATGATTTTACTACATTTTATGCATGGGACAATGCATATAACGTGGAAGTTATCATTTAAACACATGTGCCTAAGGCATTTCGGCACATCGATCTTCGATGAGATTGAGGTTTTCCTTCAAAGAGGCGCCCTTTTTTTAATCATATTTGGTTTCCGTTTTGCAAAAACAAACGGCGACACTGATAATTGACCATTAGATTTACACAAATTATTAAATTTTTGCTACAAAATTTTTGAAATCTGGTTCTGATTACACAGCAAAAAAATAATTTTGATATCACGTCAAAGTGGATGCACTACAATCATGTCGAAAATATGGTGTAATATTACTTGCTAAAAAGGACAAAATTATCATTAATACAATGCATGAACTGACATTACGCTGCTTTTACTGCATTTGTTTATTTATGTGGTCATAAAAATTACATGAAATTTTCGACATGATTGTAGTGCATCCACTTTGATGTGATATCAAAATTATTTTTTTGCTGTGTATCCTCCCAAACTTTTTTTTTTATTCTGGAAGTGTGAATGCATTATATGTATCCAATTGATATATCGATGTGTTCATGTGGGGCTTATTGTATATGAAGGCGATCTCACAATGTACGTGTATGAACAGGCATTCTTGAAATGAGTCGTTGGATGTACAGTAGAGCTACACAGCAAAAAAATAATTTTGATATCACGTCAAAGTGGATGCACTACAATCATGTCGAAAATATGGTGTAATATTACTTGCTAAAAAGGACAAAATTATCATTAATACAATGCATGAACTGACATTACGCTGCTTTTACTGCATTTGTTTATTTATGTGGTAATAAAAATTACATGAAATTTTCGACATGATTGTAGTCCATCCACTTTGATGTGATATCAAAATTATTTATTTGCTGTGTATTGTCACCATCCATCGCCAGGGCTTGAACTGTTTGCATCTGTGGATAAAGGTAGGTGCAAACAATTTTCTTCCATAAAAGCACTGCCGGCCAGTGGGAAATGGATTGTAAACACACACACACACATAAGAGGATACAAACATTTTATATATTTGCTACATTTGGCTTGAATGCCCTCAATGTGATCTTTAAAAGTTAATTTTTGGTCAAGTACTTATCCAAGATATTTCACTTGGTTTGACCAGGCAGTTGTAACTCCGTTCATAGTGACTATGTGACCACTACTAGGTTTCAAAAAGGAAGCTCTAGGTTTATGTGGAAATATTATAAGCTGAGTTTTGGAAGCGTTGGGGGAAATCTTCCATTTTTTGTAAATAAGAAGAGAAAATATCTAAACTTTTCTGCAGTCTGCTGCAAATAACACGAAGACTTCTCCTTTAGCGGAAATGCCTGTGTCATCGGCAAATAAAGATTTGAGGCAACCCTGAGGCAAATAAGGGAGATCCGGAGTGCAAATGTTATACAATATAGGCCAAAGAATGCTACCCTGAGGAACTCCTGCTCTAACAGGTAGTCGATCAGATTTGGAATTTTGATAATTTACCTCCAGAGTTCTGTCAGTTGAATTTTTTTTTTTTTGCTTTATTTAGTAGATTTTGAGCCGTAGGCTAGTTCATCTCCGTAAAAGGTGGGAAGCCCTAGCAAGAGTTCCCCCAACCACATTGCTTGAGCATCATGCTACTTCAACCTTTGATAATCTACTTAGCTAAAAATATAAACAGCTAGTACAATAACACAGTAAACAGCATACGAAAAGGACAGACTAAACATATACAAATTAAGAAAAACAAAATATAAAATGAAAAAAAGAAACAATAACAAAACATAGGTCTACTGTAGGAGGTCCTTGGTAGCCCCGTCCAGCGGGGATGTCCTGACGGCCGAAGGAATCGATGGTGCTATATCCTGCAGTATAGCTTCGCCGCCTTAAAATAGCGCAGTTCAGCTGCTTGAGTTGATGGCACGTCTGCTAGCGTGTCCCGTACGCTGGCAGGCAGACCGTGGAGGCAACGAAGATGCTCGAATTGTGGACATACGCATAACACGTGCTCCACCGTCGAAGGAATATGGCAGAGTTCACAGGTCTTGCTGAAGGTCTCCACTGAAATCCCGTGAGATTAGGGAGTGTCCTGTCCTGAGTCTGGAAAAAATCCTCTGATCTCTCAACTTTCCGTTGTCGCCTTTAATTTTTCTAATAAACGGAAGTCCTGGACCATTCCGTTGCCCTCGCTGTCCACACTGTGCAAGTGATCCATCTCTTCACGTCCTGCAACGGCACCTTGTGCGAGTACCGAGGACAAGATGGGCCTGACGCGGCTAGCTTGCCTGCCTCGATGTTCCCTGGGATCCCACAGTGTCCGGGAATCCATGCGTAGGTAGTGTTTGGTGGCGCAACCTTCAGGATCTCCTGGATCCAGGGGTGAACCGGGACCTTCGACGAAAGGGCCTGAATAACACTGTGGGAGTCGGACAGGATCAGAATTGGGCGATCCGCAGGAACCGTGACGGCATGAAGAATAGCCGCTTCTTCAGCCGAGAACACCGAACATTGTTTTGGCAGACTTTTACTCGTTGGGGAAATGTCACCAGCGATTCACATTCTGATTCTAGCTCTCGATCTTGACCCGGCCGTGTAACGATGTATGTAGTTTGGGTAAATCCGGTGAGCTCTGCTACCGATCTCCTAAGGGCTATGAAATCGTCCCCGGCTCTGAACTCTTGTCTCCGTACCAGTGAATCTTGGCTCTGGAAACTGGGGCTCTGCGTTGGTGATTGTACGGAGAACTCTGTCCCAGATTCTGTCGTTTCTGGTGGTATTTGCTGAAAATGCAGCGGCTTTGTTGGCAACGGCTGCGTAGATGCGGTACCGGAAAGAAAGAGTGCCGGCTTCAACACAGCTGGTATCGACCGCCGATTTTCATACGCCGCCGCCACCGCCGATGAAATTGAGCCGTCGCGCTGCCGCAGTAAAATCTTTCACGCTGCCGAATAAATTTATGTCACGCCGATGAAAAATCCGTAGCACCTTTTCGGTAAAATGCATCTTGAACGCGTTGAAATTAGAACTTGTGTGTGGTGCAGCGATTGTCATTAAGTTTTTTTTTGACATTTCCAGAACAACATGTGAAAAGGGCATACAAGCTTTTTGCAAACAAACCTTTGTAAGCCCTTTTCTCACCAACCGAGGGTCGCCCACGCAAACCAGCAATATCATCGGGAAGGGTAAAGTGCCCCCTACCCGGTGATGTTAAAGGTTTGCGTTGGTGTCATATGTGTGGCGAGAAAAGGGCATAAGAAGGTTTGTTTACAAAAAGCTTGTATGCCCTTTCCACATGTTGTTCTGGATTTGTTCGTACTCTCTCGATCCAGCACACAGGTATGAATCATTCGGATCGGATTTACATCCCAAGTAAAATCTAAATGCTTGGAAGATTTATTCTTATATTATCATTAGTTTATCATAAATAGTACCCGTTGCAGCCTGTGGTTGTATTACGGTTTTGTGTGGTTGTCGTCTATACAACTGTTTTATGACTACTAAATTAAAACTCGAAGTTCATAGTTTTAATGGTATCTGTAAGGTGGTTCTGTATTATTACTTACAACTGAAGAATAAAGCCAGAACAAAACATGCAATTATGTTTTATGGCATGCTTTTCATGACCGATATACAACTTGAAGCACTCTTACGCCTTCATTAAAGCCTCATTACAACTATCATCCTTATCAGAGGCTTAAGATTCACAGATAAGGAAAATACTAAAACAATAATAAAAAACATTGTTCCCTCAATTTTTGCAATCAAGTACCACCATGTTAGTAACGATAAAAGATTTTTCACAGATGGGTCAACCATTAATGCTTCCACTGGATTTGGTGTATTTAATCAACTTCATAGAGCCTCCTATAAACTGCAGAAACCATGCTCCGTATACGTTGCGGAACTCGCAGCTATATTTTACGCAGTAGAGCGAATTGCCTCACTACCTTCTGACCATTATTTCATTTTTACGGATAGTCTTAGCTCAATGGAGGCTATTCGTTCAATGAGGCCGATGAAGCACTCCTCGTATTTCCTGCCTGAAATACGATCTAAACTGAGTGCTTTATTTAACTGCTCCTATACTATCACCTTAGCTTGGGTCCCATCTCATTGCTCAATTCCGGGTAATGAGAAAGCGGACTCGCTAGCTAAGGTGGCACTATGGAAGGCGATATTTTTGAGCGACAAATCGCCTTCATCGAATTTTTCTCCATTGCTCGTCAGCAAGTCCTCATCAGTTGGCAACTAAAATGGAATGATGGTGGATTGGGAAGATGGTTACATTCTATTCTCCCACAGGTGTCGAACAAACCATGGTTCAAAGGGTTGGACATGAGCCGCGACTTTATACGCGTTACATCAAGGCGTATGTCCAATCACTGCTCGTTAGACTCGCACTTCTATCGAATTGGGCTCTCAGGCAGCAATTTATGTGCGTGTGGCAGTGGTTATCACGATATCGAGCATGTTATTTGGTCATGTACCTTACACCGTGTTGCCAGATCTGAGTTATCCACATCCCTCAGGGCCCAAGGAAAACAACCCGCG